CCTTACTTCAGATTTGGGCCCCAATTATAGGCGCCGGAGTCGTCCAAATTCGCCACGAACTCCGCCGCGCAATTTGCCGCGCGCACTCTCGGACGCACGACTTGACACACACCCTTCCCTAACCGCCGTTATTTCAATGTGAAACTCGTCCAACCCCCCTTTCCAGCTCTTTTTTTTTATCCTTTGTAATTCTTTTTGTCCATCGTTTTTTGCGCTTTTTTCGTTGTTATCGTTTTATTCTAGAGTAGTTCTATCAATTCCCGTCAAAAAAGGGTACCCTAAATAAGGTTATTGGACAGTTCCTTTCGGCGCCTCTCCACCACGTAGGAGATTGGCTCAAGTTCCTCCCTAAGACTCAATCCTTCGCCTTTTGTTGGAACCTATTCTGAAAAATGTCTATTTCCAGTTTTTCTCGTACGGCTCCTACTGTACTCCGAAAAAAGCACTACTGGGTAATGTCAAAGACTTCGTTTCTGATCCTTCATCTCGAGGAACTATTGTAGTTGCGTTCGGGACATTAGTGCCATGGAACCTAAGCCCACCCGATAAGCTCGACGCCTTTGTACAGGTACAGCCTTATTAATGTTGATGTGTTGTGTTCAATAGAACTGCTTGACGTTCAGGTTTTCAACAATCTATCCGAATATCGCATAGTATGGTCTTATAAAGGTCGACCCATCAATGTCGGTCGTCATGTGATGATTTCGGAATGGATTCCACAGAACGATTTACTTCTTGATGAGAAAACCGTGCTTTTCATCAGTCATGGAGGACTTAAGAGGTAGGCGCAGTCAGTTTTTCACCGATTTGGGTGTGTGGTACGATCGACGTATCCTGTCAGAATCGTTTATTACCCGAGGGTTTCGTGCGCGACATGAACTTACCCTTCCCGGAGTTCCTCTCCCTGACTTCCTCTCCTGGAAAGGTCATCTTCCAGGATCGCGAGGGAAACCGTCGACACGCTGCCATCTATTACGGAGTCAAGCATTCTCATTTGCCACGCCGTTGTTGTAGTTTTACCGTGGGTAATGGACTACCCCTTCTGAGGCCCCTCTCTCCTTTCCCTACTCCTACTCCCACAACTTCCATTTCTTAGCCCACTGTGCTACATCACTTGAAGTCTCGACTTTCTTACAGTGTCAAAGAGGCGGCATGCAGTGGAATGCCTGCTCTTTTCATGCCGATGTTTGCTGAGCAAAAGAGGAATTCGTGGCTGGCAAAACACAAGGTAAGTTCAAGTATCAAAGAGATTTTTTCATGAACTGCGAAGAAATCGAAGCAGTTCTAGGGTTTCGCGGATATCCTCAATAAATTCCTGCTAACACAGCCATACTTGGAAGAGAAAATTCGCAAAATGTTGAACACGCCTGACTTCAAGACCAAAGGAGAATTACTGAAGAAGGTATGGAATAGAAGAGAAATGGAGAAAGGTCTTTCAAAGAAAAAAACAGATATTTCAGAGATTTCTCGACCAACCTTTGAGTTCGCTTGATCACGCAGCTTTTATTGTGAATAGGTTGCTCAAGTATGGTGGTCGGATGCCGTCGTTTTTCTATACACGTTCTTTAGAGCTCAGTTACTTTACTACTTTGAATATTGACATCATAGTTGTTATACCTTTAATTATGCTAACCATATTGTTATAGGATACTGTAAATAGGGCACCCAGGTCACTACAGTGATTTAATGACTAAAACCTGCTTGTCGACATCCTAAAACAGTGACAAGGTCCAAAAGGGCAAGCCAATCTCAACCCTGAGCAGGATGAACCACAATTAGCCCTTTTTAATAATGTATTGTCACAATTCTTGTGACAGTTTAGCCACATATTCTAAGCTGAGTTGCTCGACCTTCTTGGTCCTCAAATGGGCACCCGTGTTGTTGCCGTACCTCAGCTACTAGAGCCAGAAATTTCCACTCGGGTTTGTCTATCCCAGTATCAACAATAAGCTTCATAACGATAAGAAATATGCTGATTGCGAGCATAGGCAGGCAGCAGTGGGCAGAAAGTTCGAGGAAGTGGGCAGTTCCCCAATCATATTTTCTTAACATCCACCTCCCTTTCGGCTTCTGAACGGTTCGTCAAACGCTTCCTTGCAGAAACCGCTGCAAGCTAGTCAAATTCATCTAACAGCTGCGAACTGAGTGACATGAAAAGCGCTTGCCAAGCCTCTGAGCCCGTTTCTTTTCCCTCCTTGATGGACCCTCATAAAGAAGGAGTAATCCTTCTCGTAAAGGACATAGAGACCCTAGCCATATTCTTGGCGTATCCACGCCCTTACTTAACTCCAGTGAATGTTCATGCCGACTCGCTCTGCTCATGATTAAATTGTGATCTCGAGTCTAAATGCACTGAATGTGTTTTTTGCTAGTATTCAATTTTGAGTGCAACCAGTTGTTATTGTTTACTTCTACGATATTTTACTATGTGCCAGTTCTTCTATGTAAAAAATATCAACAACAGATAAACACTGAGATCCATTTGAGTAGGCTTACAGTAGTGGACGTTCAGCTTAATCTCAGTCGAACAGTAGTTTATCTTCAATCACCAACTAGACCGTAATCATAGAAATGAGGCATAGCCAGTGTTACATTTAACTTAGCGAGTAAACAAATAAGTAATTAATAACGAGTAATTACTACCATGGCATCGACACATACAACACAATTCGGCATTTCACAAATTTACAATAGAGAGAGAATAGTTAACAATTAAATTTTACGAGTAATCTCAAAGGCAAGGTTCGAGCGGTTGATAGTACGTCAAAAGACATGTAGTAATGAAGTTCATGATGAATTATTTTATATTTAGGAGCAGTCAAGTATTGGGTGTTATACCGGTCGTCTTGTGAGTTCCTATGGGTACTCACCCCAATCCCAACTTCAGAACTCTCGTGGTGGGGAATGGAACAAAAGTTTTACGCCATTTAGTATGAGTGATCAACTCAAAGTATTCACTGCGGGGGGAATGACGTATATGATGAAGCGCCAACGGTTTTGACAGCATTTTTGTCAGCGACCAGTGGGACGCCATCCACCCCTATTGCGGCGTTGCTATGACGTCATTCTAGCGCTTCGCGTCCGCTCGCCCGTGTGCTTTAATCATGTTCGCATTGTAATATATGATTATGATTGAGATTCAGAATCATTCCTGCATGGTTACAGGTCAAATGCATGCCCTAGATTGAGTATTGAGTCCAGGCAGACAATTCCTATTGTCTCCATACTCCGACTCGAAATTATCGCGCGGCGGGCTTGAGGAATTGAGAAAAGGATATCTGCTCTAACCTTGCCTTTGGAAAAAGGTTAGCGATGACGTCACAAGTTAGTAAACAATGTTAAACTAATCTAAAATTAGTAGTAGATTATTTCGCAGAATTGTGTAACTCGTCATCTACCAAAATTTAAATTTTTCCTTAAAAGTTCTCTCTTCTTTATAGAGTTCTATGTCGGCCACTATATCGTCGGCAATTGCATCGAATAGAGGTCGAGCAGCAGGTTCAAAGCTGAAGCACGTCTGAAAA